CAGAGCGCTCCCAAGGGTACCAGCGCCGAATGCTCAGTGGGGGCTTTCACAATGTTAGAAGCATTAGGATAACTGTAGGTTCTATTTATGTTTCCTCTTAAATACTTATAGAACACACACTAGGCACCCAGCAAGCCACTGGTCACATCATCACTGTTCCTTGCAACTCCCTGCTTCGTGGCTGTTAATATGATTACCCTCATTTTGCAGATGAGGACGTTAAAGGTCCAAAGGAGAGATGCCTTGCCAAGGCCACAAAGCGCTGGATGACTATGGATTCACTGAGTGGCCCGAAGGAGGGCAGCCCAGGCCAAAGGCACTGCCCCAGCCACTGTGTGTACAAGTCTGAGAACAGAGTATGTCCATGGCATGGATACAAGCACCAACTCCCTACCTGGGGCATCCTGTACCCACCTGGGGCTGGGAAGGCTGGGAAAAACACTGGTGGCTTTGATATTTTGAAAATTAAGTAAGTTGGGTACAGTGGTTCACATGTATAATCCCAGCACTTTGGGAGGCTAAGGCAGGAGGATCACTTGAGGTCAGAAGTTCAAGAACAGCCTGGTAAACGTAGCAAAAATCTCATCTTTATAAAAATTAGAGAAAATTAGCTAGGCACAAAGGTGCTTGCCTGTAGTCCCAGCTACTTGGAAGACTGAGTCAGGAGGATAGATCAAGCCCAGGAGTTTGAGTTTGCAGTATACTATGATCATGTCACTGCACTCCAGCCTAGGATAAAGCAAGACACTGTCTCAAAAAAAAAAAGAAAGAAGAAAAGAGACGAGACAAGACGAGGAGAGGAGAGGGAAAAAAAAAAGAAAATTAAACAGGCAAATTTAAACAGAGAAGAATCCAAAATCACCCAGAATAACCGCAGGGCACAGGGCAGTGGCCAATTCCAGTCCACAAGCCCCCTGATGTCAGGAGTCTTCTCTGGTTTAGCACAAGGGCAAGTAAGGAACAGAAATTAACATTTGTTGTAAGCCTACTATGTGCCTGGACTAGCTTACTTATTAAATTCATATATTAATCTATATTGGCGGAGACGTATAATTGAGGACACAGACGATCATGTTAGTAGAGAAAAGGGCAGGAAGTCGAGATGGAAGGAGAAAGGAACCAGTCAATAGGGAGGCCTGGTCTTTACCACTCAATGTCTTTGACCAATTTTCCTTAATTTCCACAGGCCTCAGTTGTTTAATCTGTGCAATGGGGAGAACACCTACATCATAGGTTACTGAGGAGCTGAGTAAACTAAACCACGTAAAAAGCAAATGGTAGCCACTGCCAGCAACCACTATTCCTGGGCCCGTCCATTACGTCCACATTTGTGGTGATTTGTCTTAAATCCAGCAACCAGTTACAAATATCTGTTGACAAGGAAGTTCACTGTCAGACATAGCTCTAGGTCCTGGGGACACACAGTAAGGCAGACAAGTCTATGAGGGGAAAAAACAAGCTACAAAAAAGTATTTGCAGAGAAGCCTGTGTTTATGTTGTTTCTTAAAAGCATATTCTGTATATTCAAAGAAAGCTAAAAGAATATTAAGTGAAATGCTGACCATGGTTACCTCTGTGTGGTAAAATTACAGGTGGTTTTGTGTTCTTTTTTGCTTTATCTGTACCTTTTACAACGAACATGTATTTGTTTATTAAAAATAAAGCACACGGGCTCAGCGCCGGTAGCAAGTGGTTACGGCGCCAGCCACATACACGGAGGCTGGCGGGTTCGAACCCAGCCGGGGCCAGCTGAACAACAATGACAATTGCAACAACAAAAACAGC